TGCTGGGGGATTGAACCGCGGTCCCTGTGCTTTGCTAAGCTTGTTCTAAGTAGGTGCTTTAGACCACTGAGCCATCTCACCAGCCCCCAGTCTAAAATCTTAGAATCCTCAAAACTTTAGTTTAGCCCTAGGAGTGTATTAATGTCTTATCACAGGGCCAGATATTGGCAAGCCACACCGGAACACTGAACCCAACAGCCTACCTGCAAAACAGCTGGCTGAATCTGAGATCCGACTTGTGAACTACAGGTCAAGTAGGTGCCCTTAAGTATTACTTGATCTGACATTTGAGGGCCACCAGCTCTGTTCCTTCCCCAATAGGAAGCTGCTTGCAGGGGATACTGGTAGAGTATCATGTTTTCATAACCAGTCCCTTCCTCAGTGAGCTTCTCAACTCCTGTGTCTTAATGGTACCTAAGATACAATCTCTTCAGCCTTTAAGGCAGCAAGAACCCCAGCCTGATGCTGCCAAGTGTAAAGTATAAGCACTCTTCTGTTAACAGCCTAGGGAACACAGTAAGAGAAATACAAAGCCAGATCAGACTGAACTCTCCCATGTATGTCATCCACTGCTTAAGCCCACCCAGGATGCAGGTGGGGGAAGAGATCAACATCCTTTTAGGGAAGAGACTGTTGGGCCTCTTATGGCCAGGAACCCTGACCTGCAGCCCCATCTAGAGCTGCGTGAGTGCCACTCCCACATGGCTTGCTGGAGATGTTGTGGGGGAGGGGAACGTCTCTGTCTTCGGATCCCACCTTGTCATAGAGGGTGCCCACCATGCTGTCCTCTTCACTAGTGCCCAGCAACTGGGCCAGCAGCTTGTGGCCGAAGTGTAGATAGATGAGTCCTGCACTGCTCAGCTTGGTCTGCCACGGCTTCCCAGGGGAGAGGGAACTCATGGTCTCTGTGAAAGACCTGAGGAGCACAGGGAGGGAGGGCTGAGGCCAAGGATCAGCCAGCGTGTGCATAGGCGCATATGCACATGTGCAGACCTGGGTGGGGCAGGGGGTGAGAAGACTGCAGGGGCTAGGATGGGCAAAGGGAAGGCTTTGGTTTTTTCTCAGGCATCAACAGACTGACTTGGTGTCTCCATCCATTCACTTAGCAATAAAGTTCAATGGCTGGTTACTGTATGTTCAGTTTTGTGTTCAGATGTTAAGGAGAAAAGAAACCAGACTCTGTCTTTGCCTTTCTGATTCATCTGCTAGAAGCAGACAAACACAACCAACCAAGCAAGTACAGTCCTCCTAGATAGCAAAAATCTAGGGATGGGGTATTTTCATGTTAACTGTGCACAACCTCCCATACACTTAAGCCATCTCTCAAATACTTATAATGCTTAATACAATGTAAATGGTATGTGAACAGTTGTTACACTCCATACTATTTAGGGAATAATGACAAAAAAGTGTGTACTAAATACAGGATCAGATTTCAAAACTTTGTGATCCAAGGTTGAGTTCATAGATACCATACTGTAGCTAGGTTCTAGAAAAGGAATGAATGAGGAGACGGTTGAGCAGAAAGCCTTCATGTCAGTCCTGAAAAATGAATTCATGGAACTGTGAGAAAGGCAGCTGCTGGGGCTAGGGGTATAATTGAGTATAAAGTGCTTATCTAGCATGTTCCAGGCCCTGGGTCTGATTACCAGAGATCTAAGTGGCAAAAATAAAGCTAGGAAGGGGCCAGCCTATGGCAAGCTTTGTATGCCATGTCTTGAAGTCTGGGCTCCATCTGTAGGTAGTGGGGAGTTTGGGGGATTATGCAAACAGGTGCACGGTAAAGGACTGCACTAGGCAGCCTGGACAACAGAAGCAAGGAGATTGCCTGCAGTGGTCTGAGTGAGTAAGGCAGGAATTTGAATTTGAATAGTAGTGAGATAGACTGGAAGAAAGTAGGAGACAGGCAAAATAGCTCAGCGGTCTAAGTGCCTGTTTAGGCAAGCTTAGGCAAAACACAGGGACTGGTTCCATCCCTGGCACCACATGCTGCAACAGTCCCACCACCAGGGCAGGCTAAGCTGGCCACAAAAATAAATAATAGGGCCAGGAAGATGGTTCAGTAGAATAAGTGCTTCCCTGGCAAGCACAAGGGTCTGAGTTCAATCCCTGGTTCCGCCAAAAAAAATAAATAAAATAATAATAAATTCATTGCTTGGGTGAATGAAGGAATAACAGTGGAAAATAAAGTGTGGACTCTTCCTGGGATATTTTTTATTTTTTTATATTATGTATTTAGTACAGGGTCTACAGGGTCTCACTATGCAGATTGGATTTGTAGTGATCCTCCTGTTTTTCAGCCTCCCAAGTGCTGGGATTACAGGTGCACATCACCACACCCAGTCTCAATTGCCATCTCAGCAGGCCCCACAGGGCAGGCTGGCATGGGACGCCAGGGATCAAACCCTGGACACTGCTCTGCTTAAGTAGGCGCTTTATTAGTCTGCTGAGCTATCAGGCCAGCCTCTTCCTAGGACATTAAAAAAAAAAGAAAGTTAGGGCACCTTAGGGAAGTAGACATTATAGCTGTGATGTCTAATTAAGAAAAAATTAGGGATGGGATCCAGGGTGTTCGACATGTTAAACTTGTGTTCTGCCTCTGACTATGTCTTAGCCCTCCTCAGCTGTGACTTCCAAATATCAGTCCATCTCAGATCACTTAAGGAATTCATTTTTAGTTTTATGGCTTTCATTATTAAATAGGTAAATAAAAAATTATTCACAAAATTATATTTACAAGGTATACATTATACTTATAAATGATAAAGCACAAGGTGGTGAATTTGATTCTTAGTACCCCTCCAAAAAATTTGCTTCTTTTTTTTTTTTAGGTCCAGAGGCTTGTTACATAGTAGCTCAGGCTGGCTTGGAACTTGCAACAGTCTTGCAAAGCGTTACAAACTGTTACAAGGGAGCACCACATTCCCTACTAAAAATTTAGAGTATTAGCTGGGTGTGGTGGTGCTTAGAATCCAAGCACTCAGGAGGCTGAGGGCAGGAGGACTAGTATGAGTTCCATGACTAGCCTGGATTATATGGCAAGACTCTGTCTCAAAAAACAAACTAACATGCACACACCTGTAATCCCAGCATCACCTGCCAGGCTGAGGCAGAAGGACTGCTGTGAGTTTGAAGCCAGCCAAGGCTACAAAAGTGAGTTCAAGGCCAGCTTGCATTATATAGTGAGAAACTGTCTCAAAATAAAAACAAAGGGGCTGGGGAGATGGCTCAGTAGAATAAGCGCTTCTCTGACAAGCACAAGGGCCTGAGTTCAATCCCCGGTTCTGCAATAAATAAATAAATAAATAAATAAATACAAAGGAAGTGATCATTCAGGCCAAATAACACAAAAGGGCAACTCCATAAGACCCTGTTGTGCTGGCCCCTTGGTTGGTCCAAGGTCATGAGTACTCTTATCAGGCAGTACCAGAGAGACCAAGAGAGAGTGTACTAGAGGGGAACAGGCTGGAAGAAAAAGTGGAGCCCAGGGACAACTATTCTTTTTATTTTTTGAGACAAGGTCTCACTATGTAGCCCATGGCACTCCTCCTGCTTCTGCCTCCTCAGAACTGGGATCACAGGTATGCACCACCACACCCAACTTCAGCCATTTGTTTTGAAGAGTAGATGATAAGTGAGGGTGAGAAATTAGGGATTCTTTCCAACATAATTTATAGAGATGGATGTCGTGGCACATGCCTGTGAAGGCCGTAGATTCAATCCCTAGTACAGGACAACAAAAAAACATATCTGAACTGTCATCAACTGACACAATTATATGACCCCAGCAATCTAAGATGGGGCTGTGAAGGTGCCTGAATGAATTAATCCCAGATGGGGTACTAGCTGGGGTGATGGACAGAGTTGATGACGAAAAGCCTGACCTAAGCCATGGAAGCAGAGGTGGTGAGGTGGAAGGGACCAATCAGGATCCAAGGTAGGTCCAAGGCTGGAAAGATGTGAAGAGCTGACAGCAGGACAAAAGGCTGCAGTCGCAGTGGGCCGCAAGAATAGGATTTCCTTCAATTCGCTTCGCTGACTCGGACTGGACAGCCGATGGCTGAATTGGGGCATGGTATAAAGTTAGTCAAAGAAACAGTATTGAGAACTCACCTCTGGTGATGGTCGTATCGGTGTCTCTGGGGGTCGTATTCGCCACCTACGTCCACTACAATGTCACACGAAGCCAATTTTTCCGGGTCTCGGGTCCTCACAATCTCAGCATCCTGCAAAGTACACAGGTGGTTCAGGCGCTGAACCACCAGCAAGTCACACGGGCATAGGATTAATGTTGGGTCTCCAGGTAATCTGGTGCAGTGCTGAGACTGCTCGGGCTATCACCAGGACCTAGCTAGGGATGCAGGTTGTCGCGGGGTGACACTACCTGGTACTCTGGCAGGAGGCGAAGCAAGGCGCATGCCAAAGCCTCATCGCAGTGGAAGGTGCCATTATGAGTCCCGATTCGGGGCGCTGACATGAGGCTGCTACGGGGTCTTTTCGGGGGCGGTACGGACTCTGGGCTGAGCATGCAGCGCTGGGTTGGGAGCGGTGACCAACGCAGTAGCAGCACCAGGAGACGGCGGAAGGGCTGTCGCATGAGAATCCCCCTCCCAAGAAGCACGAACACCGACCCGGAAGGGGAAGTACCTGCTCCTGCTTCAACTTCCGCTTCCTGTGGTTCCTATGGCAACCAGCTACCAACCACTCAGCTTTTCAATTGGCTTCCCTCTATAGTTTCTTACTGGCTGGAGACTGGGGGCCCTCCAAGGACGAAGGCGTTGTCCCTGCTTATCAAGCTCCCACCAGAGGCGCAACCTTTCCACACACTCCCCATATCTGATCATCAGTCCCTTGCTTAATGCAAGAAAAAAAACCCACATTCTGCCCAGCAGGCATATTTATTAGCATTAAACACAAGACTCTTTCCCCTTCAGAAGACCACAAAGTTCCAAACCAATATAGTGTCCCTCTGCCCCAATTCTTCCTTTTTTGGGAGACAGGGTCTCACTGTATAGTTCAAGGTGTCCTTGAACTGCCAGCAATCCTCCTGCCTCAGCCTCCCGAGGAGCGCTGGGATTACGGAATACAGGTGTGCCCCACCTTCTGCTTCATTTCTACAACATACTTTCAGGCCTTGGCAGTGGCCTGAGCTGCCCCCAGGGCTGTGAGTTGCTGAATCTTCTGGCTCATCATTTCCATGACAGCTGTGGGGAAAAAGGAAGAGTTACACCTCAGGAGGTGGGGGATAGGAATTAAGAGTTAAGGAAAAATGGCAGGTGGAGGGTCGGGGAGATGGCTCAATAGAATAAGCACTTCCATGGCAAGTGCAAGGGCCTGAGTTCAATCCCTGGTTCCAAAAAGAAAAAAGAAAGATGGCAGGTGGATAAAAAAACTCAGAAATTTTTTTTTTTTTGCGGATCTGGGGATTGAACTCAGGGCCTTCCACTTGCCAGGGAAGCGCTTATTCCACTGGGCCATCTGCCCAGCCCCAACTTAGATTATTGATTAAGCTTTTTTTTTTTTTTTTTAAGTGATTCAGGGCTGGTCAAATAGCTCAGCAGATTTGATCAGAGTTTGATCCCCAGGTCTTCCATGCTGGCCCCCTGGGGCCCACTGAGACTGGGTGGCAAATGAAACTGGTTGTGATGGTGGCTCGCCTGTAATCCCAGCACTTGGGAGGCTGTAAAACAGGAGGATCACTATAAGTCCAATCTATGCAGTGAGTTCCTGTACACCCTGTCCTAAATACCAAAAAAAAAAAAAAAAAAAAAAAAAAAAAAAAAAAAGTGATTCACCGTGGGGGAAACACACTTACACATTTACTAGAGTCTACAGTGTAGGGGGCCTGCCAAATAGCTCGGCGGATTAAAGTGCCTGCAGGCAGGCTCAGGGGTTGGAAGTTTCATCCCAGGGTCTGCTGTGCTAGCCCCCACCCCCAGGGCTTGCTGAGACTGAGCTGGTGGTGCAGGTCTGTAAGCTCAGCCCTTCGGAGGCTGTAAACAGCAGAATCACTATGAGTCCATCTAGTGGTGAGACCCTGAACACCCTTCCCTAAAATACAGAAAACAAATTTTTTTTAAAAAATAAGAGTCTACAGGGCTGGTGAGATGGCTCAGTGGTCTAAAGCAGCTACTAAGAGCAAGCTTGGGAAAGCACAGGGACGGCGGTTCAATCCCCCAGCACCACATGCCAGCCAGCCCCGCCCCCTGGTGGGCTGAGCTGGCCACACACACACACACATACACACAAACATAAATAAAATAAATAAATTAAAAAAAAAAAAAAAGAGTCTACAGTGTATCCAGGCAGTGTGCTAGTCACTGGGAAATACAAATGCCTCATATTAAATCAGTCAGAGATAACCAAAAAATAGTAATAGTGTTTACAGCACTTCGGAGGCTGTAAACAGCAGAATCACTATGAGTCCATCTAGTGGTGAGACCCTGAACACCCTTCCCTAAAATACAGAAAATAATTTTTTTAAAAAAATAAGAGTCTACAGTGTATCCAGGCAGTATGCTAGTCACTGGGAAATACAAATGTATCATATTAAATCAGTCAGAGATAACCAAAAAATAGTAATGTGGAGATTTCTGGAGGCTGGGGTTGCAGCTCAGTACTAATAGCACCTGCCTAATAGTCCCAAGGTCCTGGGTTCTACCCCCACCAATTTTTCCCCCCTCTTTAAACAGACTTTCATCTTGTCTAACAATCACTAGGTGGATTTTTTTTTTTTTTGGGGGGGGAACTGAAAGACTCCAGTGTGCAACCAGAGTTGTAATTTCTAGAACCTATTTAGTTAAGATTATGTTTCCTTCCTGTACTTATGTATATCTCATGCCCCATCCCATCCTTGTTAAATAGGAGCTTCACAAAAGCACAAACATGACTTCTTCCTCCAAAAGTTCTGAAACATCCAACCTAGGAATCTACAAATCATGGGCATGATTTTAGGGTATTGGGGACCTAGAGAATAAGATACCAAGATTCCAAGGAAAAATACATGGTTTTAACAAGTTCATGACGGAGATGTAATTCCTATAACTTGCTGCCAGGTGGCTTGATCCAAGGATGGTACCTGTGACTGTCAGGTAGTGTGTGCCACTAGTGGTTGAAGCAGGACAGTCATATGGTGGTTCAAGCCAGCAGGAACATGTTAATCCAGCAAAGGGGGCAACCTCAAAGTCTCAATGACAATTCACATTGTTTATTGTAGAGGTGCAAAGGATCAAGAGGTGCCAGGCAGAGCTCACCTTGTTTCATGGCATGCTTCTCCTGTAGGGCTGGCTGGATTTTCTCCATCTGCTTGGTTAGGAAGTCTATCTTCCTCTTGAAGAAGTCCTTGGCATCCTCAGCTGTCTGCAAGATCAGAGGTGAATGAAGGGGTAAAAGGAGACTCTTTCCTACCACATAGACTGTCCTTAAACTTCTCCTGTCTACTCAGAGGGACAGCCACATGCTTTCTCCCACTCACCTTCTCCACATAGTAGCCAGTTCCCACATCAATGAGCACGTGTTCTACATCATGGAGCTTCCCAGGGACGTACATCTGAGAAGCAAGGATTAAGGGAAAAACTAGCCTAGCACGAGCCATGAATCCCTGTCAGACAGTCTCATGGCCCTAAAAGACCCTCTTTAAAAAAAAAAGGGTGCATGCCTGTGATCCCAGTGCCTGGGAAGCTGAAACACTACCAAGTGGACAATCACCACCAAGTCTGATCTGTGTAGTGAGACCTTGTACTAAACACATTAAAAAAAAAAAGAAAAAAAAAAAAAAAAAGCCTCATTTCTCCTCAACCATGAAGTAGTAATTTTTTTTTTTTTTCATTTATGTATTTGGTACAGGGTCTCACTATGCAGCTCAGACTCATAGTGATACTCCTGTTTTCAACCTCCCAAGTGCTGGGATTACAGGCGTGCGCCACCACAATGTCTCAGTCACCCTCTCAGCCACCCCAGGGGTGGGGCTGGCAGGGCATGCCAGGCATTGAACTCTGGTCCCTGCGTCTGCCTAAGCAGGAGCTTTAATCCACTGAGCTATCTGGCTGGCCCTCTCTTAGTTCTTTAGACTGCAAATTCCAGGTCCTTTTTGCTATAACTTGTACCTTCAAGTAAAACATTCAACAGATGGACATGATCCAGTTTTCTTAGTGAAAGTACTTTAGGAATGAGCCACAATTAAGCTGAAATTGATGAATAAATCCAGCCAACTTCTTCATTTGTATAGCCTCTATTCTTCTATTGCTTGTCTTCTAAGTTATTAGCACAAGTGTAAGTCTCCAGGTTCATTTCCATACTAGATGAATATCCTCAAACTGCAAAGTGAAACTGCATACTTCAACTCTTCATACCTTTGGTCACTTATAAGGGATGGAGAGCGATGAAATGTGTGTAAGAGTGCTCTCAAAATTATGGGGGACTCTAGAATAATCAGAGTGGGGAAAGAACGAAGCAGGATAGCGGTTCCTGTGGAAAGGATACAGAACTCGTCAGTGGGACGAGTAATTCTTTCCCTGTGAAAGCAATTAGCATAAACACCCGGGGAAGGTTGGCAGCTCCCACGCGAAGACGTGAAAGGGAGCTCCACCAGGGCACAGCGCCCACACTGGCGAGAACTGGAACAGGCCACAGGTGCTGGGGAAGGTCCTGTACATTTCAACTCTCCATAGGCAACATGCAAAGGCTGATGGAAGCGGCACGCGATACCTAAGGACTGCTGTCTCTAAGGAAGACCAGGTTAGGAAGCGGGACGAGAGAAGCCGGCTCGTACTCCCCAGGCTGCCTTCACCCCCTACCCCATACCCTCGTTGCTCTTGTTCAGCACGTTCAGGCAGTCCTTCGCTTCCACATACTTGGTCTGTACCACCTTGAGCTGGGCGATGGACGTGGACAAGAACTCCACTTCCTACAGAAGTCGGGAAAGAGGGTCAGAGTGGGGGTGGGGAGGGGTCACAGCCGGGCAGGGGCAGGCTGGGGCTGGGGCTGGGGTCTCGCCGGGCAAAAGAAACCTCCCAAGCTGCGATGCAAGGAGGCGAAGGCGTTAGCATGGGGAAGGAGTGACTGAGGGGCAAGAAAGCCGCCTCTGGTGCCCGTCCCCACCTGGTCCAGCTGGTTCTTGAGCATTTCTAGTTGCGGCAGGTTCAGCTCTGTGATGTTAATCGACTGCGCCATGTCTGTTAAGGAAGACGGCTGAGGAGGACTACGGGGAAGGATGTGGGATCCGCAATCAACGTTCTAGCCGTCCTCCGCGAATCTCTATGGCTGCGCCGGGAGGTCGCGCTGCGCCACACGTCTCTATGACCTGATGGGGCGGGGCTGGAACGTGGATTGACGTAGATAACCGCGAATCACAAAGTATCCTAAACGTAGCAAACATTAGTTCCGCCCATAGGAATCAAAACCTTTAAATCCCTTCGTCTGTCTGTCTGTCTGTCTGTCTGTCTGTCTGTCTGTCTGTCTGTCTGTCTGTCTGTCTATCAGTCTATCAGTCATCTATCCATCCATCCATCCATCCACCCACCCAGGTACTAGCTATCTGGTACAAGGCCTCACTACCCTGCTGGGACTTGTAGTGATGATCTTACTGTCTCAGCCTCCCCAGCGCAGGGATTATGGGCGTGTGCCACCACACTTGGATTCGGTGGCTGGCTCCGCGCAGGGCCCCGGCCTGTCTGTCCTGCGGATCAAACCTGTGTCCTTGTGCTTGCTAGGCAGGAGTTTAGACTGCTAAGCTATCTTTCCAGTCCCCCAAAACTTTAAATCCTCAATCAACTACACTTTCTTTAGTTTTTAAAGACAGGATCTTGGGCCGCGGAAATAGCTCAGCGGTGGTTTGATCCCTGGCACCACATGCCATGCTAGCCCCGCCTCGGGTGGCCATCAGAACCAGGCATGGTAGTGCATGCCTGTAATCCTAGCACTGGGGAGTCTGAAACAGGAAGATTATTATGAGTACAAGCTGCATAGTGAGGCCTTGTGCCAAACAAATAAGATTTTTTTTTAAAAAATCATAAAAAAGAGACAGGGTCTTACTCTGTAATTCAGGCTAGTCTTGACTTCACTGTGTAACCCATTGTGGCCTTGAACTCACAGCGATCTTCTTTCCTTTTCCTCCTGAGTGCTGAGATCCTAGGTGAGTGCCACTACACCTGACTTTTTATTTTTATTTTTTTTGTATTTTAGGGAAGGGTCTACAGGGTGTTCAAGGTCTCACTACTAGATCAGACTCGTAGTGATCCACCTGTTTAAGGCCTCCCAAGAGCTGGGATTACAGGTGCACACCACCACGCCCAGTCTCAATCCACCTCAGTGCACCCAGGGCCTGGACTGGCATGGCAGGCCCGGGGATTGAACCCCTGGCCCCTGCACCTGCTTGCAGGTGCTTTAATCTGTAAAGCTGTTTGACTGGCCCTGTACCTGATTTAACTACAGTATTTTTTTTTTAATTTTAAAAAATCTTGCTTACACAACACAGATTCATAGTGATTCTTCTGTCTCAGCCTTCCCAGCATGGAATTACAGGCATGTGCCACCATGCCCAGTTTCGGTGGCCAGCTTGGTGCAGGGCCAGGACCGTATGAGGTACTGGAGATCAAACCTATGGCCTTGTGCTTGCCAGGCAAGACCTTAGACCGCATCTCCCCAGCCTCTCAACTACAATATTGTAAGGCAATGTCTGCTGCTCTACCTGGGTGGTACTGTCAGCTGACAGGTCTGGGGAGGTTCCCCAAACTGACATTAGAAAGCCAATACCCATCCCACCCATAGAATAGGATTGCAGTTCGTTGATTTGTTACAGAGAAAAGAATTTTCAGGATGCATCAGTAAAAGGCTCAAGAAAGGTTTATTTTTATTTATTTATTTATTTAAACATTTATTTATTTAGTGTGTGTGTGTGGCCAGCTCAGCCCACCAGGGGGCGGGGCTGGCTGGCATGTGGTGCTGGGGGATCGAACCGCGGTCTCTGTGCTTTGCAAAGCTTGTTCCAAGTAGGTGCTTTAGACCACTGAGCCATCTCACCAGCCCTCAAGAAAGGTTTATTAGGCAGAAAGTGAAAGTTTCACACTCAAAGAAATAGTGTGGATATGGGGGTGGAGGTTGTTCCTGGAACAGAGAATATGTCTGCCTTTTCTGGAAGGGGTGGAAACCTTGAAGAAGGTGGTCAAACCCATTAGTCTATTCTATCTACTGGATATAACCAGTTGTTTTTGGCCTTTTTGTGACAGTTTGGTTATGTAGTTCATGATGGCCTTGAGCTCACTTTGTAACCCAGGCTGGTCTCAAACTCCCAGTTCTCCTGCCTCAAGTCTTCTGAGTGCTGAGATTACAGGCACATACCATGTCTGGTCCAGTGACAGTCTCTTTTTTTCAAATTAAAATTTTGATTTTTATTAACATTACCTCTGTCTGCTCCAAAATTCTGCAAGTTGAAGCACATTTCCAATTCACATGTTCATGAGTTAACATGTACAGAACAAAGAAGATACACTGTACTTTCAAAAAAGCACACCTGGGCTGGTGAGATGGCTCAGTGGTCTAAAGCACCTACTTAGAACAAGCTAAGCTAAGCAAAGCACAGGGACCCCAGCACCACATGCCAGCCAGCCCCGCCCCCTGGTGGGCTGAGCTGGCCACACACAGACACAAAATAAATAAATAAATAAAAATTAAAAAAATAAAGCACACCTGTTTTCTGCTTTACATAGTACAAGATGGATGCTGTTCAATGTAATTGCTATAAAACTGAACAATATAATGGTAGAATTATAAGCCTCATCAGTTATATAGGTATGTTAACTATTGGTTTGCTTCAAGTAATTGCTGAGCTATATTTGAAGTGCATCATCGACATGTGTCACAGTATGTACAGCAAGCAGTTCAATGATGATGAAACAAGTAGGAAAGTGCCTGTTGATGAAAAATGCTTCAGAACATTAGTAATATGACTAATGAGCAAAGTACATAAATCTTGAACAAGGGAAGGGAAGGTATATTTATTAAAAATAAAAATGATACAGTCTTTGATAAGAAAAAAGAAATTATGCAGGTCACAAAGACACCACAGCGACAGTCTTTTTTTTTTTTGGAACTGGGGATTGAACTCAGGCCCTTCCACTTGCCAGGCAAGCACTTATTCTACTGAGCAATCTCCTCGGCCCAACAGTCTTATTATTTTTTTAATTCTTTTTTTTCTTAATTCTTAAAAGCAGGATTTCTGAGTTAGGAATTCCACGTTTCCCTTTTGCCTATCTTGTATTTTGTCCTACTTCAGTCCAAGCCTCGGACAGACAGGCCAGGAGGAGGCCTGTGAAGCTCTTTGAGTCGTGAGAAGTGTGGAAATAACATGCTGAAGGGAGGCTAGATGAGGTGGAAAGAAAGCTGAGGAGTAGAAAGCTGCTGTGAGCCACCTAGCACCACACAGCACATGCTCGCTGGGGGAAGATGAGGCTGGGAGGGGTGGGCTTCCCTCCAGTTCAACATTTAGTGGGAGACACACAGCTGGTAAGAGAACCCATAGAGGGCTGGAGAGATGGCTCAGTGGTCTAAAGCACCTACTTGAAACAAGCTTGGCAAAGCACAGGGACCGCGGTTCGATCCCCAGCACCACATGCCAGCCAGCCCCGCCCTCTGGTGGGCTGAGCTGGCCACACACACACACAATAAATGTAATAAATAAAAATAAATATTTAAAAAAAAAAAAAAAAAGAGAGAACCCATAGAACCTGCTGCTCAGGGACTGGCACTGAGGAGCCAGCAGCTGCAGTGGGAAGAGAGCAGCCTCCGTAACAGCCTTTGGAGAGGCTGAGCAACTGAGGCAGGAAGGTGCCCTCAGCGATACGTATTGCAAAATAGGAAGAAAATGTTCATATGGGGAGGTAAACAAGGCAGAAGGGAGAAGGAAAGAAAAGTAAAAAAAAGAGAAAACATGGAAACAAAGCTTCTATAAATAGGGGCTGAAGGGAAAGGAATGGGAAAAAGTTACATCATGTACAAAATCTGTGATGAATGATCATTATGCAATTCTAAAATGTACCAATAAAATCTGATTTAAAAAAAAAAAAAAAAAAAGATACCCTCAATGCTTACTGATGCCCTTTCTGGGTCCTATTTACACTTTTTTTTTGATGCTGGGGATTGAACCCAGACCTTTATACCAAGTTACATCATCAGCCCTTTAAAAAATTTCGGCAGGTTTCCAGTCACCAAAATGCCCAGGCTGGGTTCAAACCATGCAGTTCTCTGCCTCAGCCTCCCAGAGTGCTAGCATTATGGGCATGCACCCCTACAGGCAGCTACTTCAAGCCCTTTCTCCCTCAGCTTGGCCAGCAAAGGTCCACCCTGGTTCAGCTTTATGCAATGGCTTTCTCTTTCTTCCTAATGTTCTCAAACTTGAATCCTGTAAGGTGTTTCCTTCTGTTTACAGTAGCACACACTGGGGTGGGGGTGGGGGGCGGGGACGGGCATTTGTCTTCAGATGTTCTCAGATACACTACACAAACAGGGTTGAAATAATGTATCTTTATTATATTAAATTGGAAGGAAATATTTCATATAAAACACAAGGGAAAACAGCTTTAAAATATTTATCCTGAGGGTGAAATCTAAGGTTGGAGGTAGAACAATCACATGGTTTCTACCAGTCATAAGATAGAGAGCGTCAAGCCTTATCGCAGAAAGACAGGCAAGCCATAGGCTATGGGTGCAGCTCCAATCAGGGACTTGAGTCGGGGAGCCTGGCGGGCCTGGCTCACATAGTGGAGCAGAGGGGCCCCCGGGCCTGCTGTGAGCCAGCCCTGCAAGAGAGCCTCTGTGTAGCGGTCAATGTCTCGGTCAGTCACGTCCCAGAGATTTCCAAGAAATAGGGGGCTGGGAAAAAATAAGCACAAAGTGAGGGTCCAGGAACAGACCACCCAGAAGATATTAGTGGTGGAGAGGACTGAACCAAGAAGGAACTCCCTGGTCCCATGCTTTGAGAATGGAAGGGGATCAAGGTTGTAGGGTCAGGCATCCTCAGGGAACCCAGATGGGAGGAAGATGAGGCAAGAAAGGAAGGGGCCAGGGCTGGGAGCTGGGAAAGAGCCAGAGTAGGTAAGAGGGTCTCAATGCCCTAGGACAGGTCTCACCCCTGAAGCCTCACCAGCCAGCCATGATGTACTTCAGCACTATGCCAGCCCCCTCCAGGTTTCCATGCACGGCCAGTGCTGCACTGCTGCAGCCAAACAACAGGGCCACTGCCCGGCAGCTCAGTCGCAGCACAGCCT